GGTCCGCTGAGGGCGGCGGCGGCGGCTCCTCCGGGGCCCGCGGCACCGCGGCGACCTGCGCGGCCATTTCAGGGGCTCCCTCACACACATTTAAATGGCCCGAGCGCCGGGCGCCGCCGCGCACGCGCCGCCGCGGGGCACCCTGGGACCTGTAGTTCGGAGCGCGGGGGCGCGTGCGCGCGGCGCGGGTCACGTGGGCGGCGGGGGGAGGGCGGGAAAGCGCTGAGGGAGCGCCGGGCGGAGAGGCGGGAGTGGGTGAAAAACTTTATTTTATCGGCGATTCTCGCTTGATCTCAAGTGCGTCATCCATTAAACACCGACCGCGGGGTGCTGGGGGTGCTTTCCTGACGAGGGAGATGGTGTGGAGCTGTTGGAGCGAGCCCTGGGAGGCCATCCCTGCCTATGGCAATGGGATGGAATAAAATCATTGAATCATAAATGTTACGGGTTGGGAGGGAACTTAAAAATCTTGTTCCAACCACTGCCATGGGCTGGGGCACCTTCCACTAGGCCAGGTTGCTCCAAACCCCGTCCAGCCTGGGAGAAACAGGAATATAATTTGGGTAAAGGCTTTTACTGTTCTCTGCTCTTAAGAAAACCTGTGACTTCAGAAATAAATAAGGCAGTATTGGCTATTCCTCCAACTTTAAATCATCTGAGTTTTCTATTCCAACAGTGGTCAGCAGATTCCTCTTGACCTAATACCTGAAATCCCACCTTTTTTTCCCCCCCGTCTTTACAGAAAAAACCAATCATACAAAGCAGTTCTCAGCATCTTTATCCCTCCCCACTGAAGAAACAGCAGTGGCATCTGGTGAGGAATCTGACAAATCTCCCCTTCCCTGTTCCCACCTGAAATTTTGTGCTGGAAATCAAAATGCTTAAAAACAGCATTGTTTTTAAAAATACAATAATATTTTGCTTGCTGTGGTGGTGTTTTGGGATTTTTTTTTCCAGATAGAAGAACAGCTGGGTCAGCCAATTGTGCAGTCCAGTTACACCAGTTTAGTTTCTATAAGATCAATCACCATCTTAAGTCTTACTGTCCAAAAATCCAGAAAAATGCTCTGATTCGCTCCGATGGTGGGAAGGGGAAAAAAAAGCTTATATTATTTCTAAAATCTGGGCTGCTAATTCTGTCTTAGTCCAAGTAATGTAAACATTTCTGTGTCTTTGATTGCAATAGACCTAAAAATGTGAGTGAGGGTCTTGATCCACTTTACTGTCCTCTGTTGGTTTTCCAGATCATTCCATAGTCTTCACTGGGCTCCATCAGCACAAATCCATCCTTTTGAACTGATTACAAAATGGAACAAAAATACGTCCCTCCTTCGGATAAAAGCTGTATTCTGAGGTTTGCCTTCCATCCTGTTGTGAATTAACTGAAAGCTCCTGGTCCTTTTACATTCTTCTTTAGTTAAAAACTCCAGTTTTAAATTCAATGAATGTTCAAGTAGTGCCTGAGGTGCTAGTACCGTGCAACAGCTTTTGATGTGTTTATTTTGATGGAAGCCTCAATGGGATGGAAATTCCAAGTATTTCAGGAGGACTTCACAAATCTGCGACGCCAAACCCATAAAATGTACCTAAATATTCCATGCTGGGGGTGGATTTCTTGGTCCTTTAGGTTTTGAAAATCGATTTGCAAAGCCTAGGAAGAAATGATATATTTTTTAATGTAACAACTTCAGCTATAGATGCTGATTATGTAATTCCTTAAAATAACACAGGATTTGGAAATACTTGTAATTTCAGATCTTTCCAAAGCTTTAAGATACGAGAGAAAAGCAACATCCTGTAGTTGTGAATAAAGTTGTAAATGTGTAAAAATGAAATGTGTAAAAACAAAATGTATAAAAACCAATGAGCATTACTTGCAATGTGTGTAATTTGTAAGTGTTCTGCCTGACATTTAGACTTCCAAGTACCAGGTTCTTCCTACCAAAACACCAAGAGGAAAACATACCAAAGTTAAGGAAAGGCCTCGGAGAGTTTGTCGGGRCAGGTTCTGATGATTTTGTCAGTGAAGATGGACTGCAGATGCCTAGAAATARAAAATGAGACTGGAGYAGTTGTGCACTGGCAATTCCAGAGYTGAACTCATGGRATYGTGGAATGCTTTAGGTTGGAAAAGGCCTCTAAGATCATCAAACCAGYACCAAGCCCCATCCATCYTGGCATTRGACACTTCCAGGGATGGGGCAGCCACAGCTTTTCTGGGCACCCTGTGCCAGGGCCTCCSCACCCTCACAGGGAGGAATTTCTCCCTTAATTTGTGCAATCCCATATTTACATGGAGTGGATTTACTACTGCAGCAAGGTCTGCTGAGAAAACGTTTGCTCAGAAGTGCTTTAAACACTTTTTAGCAGTTCTGTTTTCAAGATAAGTATTTTCATTTTTAGGTGAAAGGGATTTTAGTGGGAAATTCCTTATTTATACTCCAAACAGACTGGGCAGAATCCAGGCTGGGGCTTACATTCTCCCAGCACCCATATCTCTGTGTGTCCTGCTCCAAAGTACAGGGAATTTCACACTGGAAAAGTTCAGGTTCTTGCTATTTCCATCCCACAAGTGTTTAAATACATTCTTAAACCCACTGGGAAGATATTAGCTTGCAAGACTTACTTTTTTTCACGTTTTTCAATATTTTCAAGCTCTGTAAAAAAAGAAATAGGAAAAGAAAAAGACTTGTTGGAAAAAAATGTAGTAAGCAGTTGATCAGGTACTGTGATAAAGGGAATTCGCTGGTGACTGTGTATCACATCTCATAAAAAGCAAACTTGTCCCATTCTCTTTGGCTTTTTTCCTATCATCCCAAATGCCTCTGGTATGTTTTTTTTTCTACAAAATATTTTTATTTCTCTTGTTTTCTTGCCCTAAACACGAGCAGTCTCAAAGCAGGCCCTGTTCCCCCTGTCAGCAGAGAGAGCAGCAGCAGCTGTGCCAGAGTCAGCTCTTTTCTCTCCTATTCCAGTTCCCACACCTTTGTCCCTGTGTCTTTTACCTTGCTCCTCCTGAAGCATTTCATGAATTCTTTGGAAGATGTTTCTAAGCCCTTTTTCTCCAAACCTGCACGACTCGAGGAATTTCTTGCAGCGGGCTGCAGACCTGGGAACATACATCACATACACATTTTCAGCAGTCATTCATGAATTCTCCTGCATTTTTCCAAGTGCTTTGTTGTTGCTTTTCATCTCCTCTAATGCAGCATTTCTAGAAAGTTCCTGCAGGTCCCCTGGGTGTGTTTATTTTTGTTGGATTTGCTGAACTCTCCTGCAGTGAAGTGCTGAAGTGCTACCTGCTAATGCTTTGAACAAGTGGGCCACGCTCTCAGAAACCTACAGGTTTAGATGTGAGTGTAAAACCTCAGTTACATCCTGAGAAAAGAGCTCAGCACTTACCTGCTGCCTCAGCGACAACAAACGACTCCGGGGTTCTTTCAGGAAGCGGAGGAGGAGAATTAGAGCGATCCTGGGCTGTCTCTGAGAAAGCAAAGATAAAAGAATTGGTTACCTAGCTTTAGAATAATATCTACCTGTATTTTATAACCACCCAGCATATCTCAGTTGTCTCAAAGGAAACACACAACATGCAGGAGAAGAGGAGACTGCAAAGAACATCCTCATGTACAGGATGAGACAGGAGCTGATTAGGAAATATAAAACTACCAGTTCATTTGGTTGCAGAACTGTCCAGTTCTGGTTAGAACTATTTAGTTGCAGAACTATTTTGCAACAATTTCTGTTGCACTGAGATCCTMAAGACATTTACTAAATAAAGCAATTTTAGAAAAAACACAGATTTTAATTCCAAAGATTATCCCAGCGTTAAACTTATACCTGTTCGTGGGCTCCAAATCTTCACACTCTGGAAAAAAAAACAAGGCAGGTATTTAAAATTCCCACATTCAAATGTTGTTTTCTTGCACACAAGGAAGCCAGARAAGATGAGGAAAGGATGTGATGTGCAAACACCCTCCCACACACACCTCCACGCTCATGTAAAGGAAGACAGACTTGTGCCTCRTTCTTCCACTTCACAGAGCTGTCACTCAACTATGGGATGATCAAGAGATGCCTAAATTTTGTACAGCTCCTGCTTGTGTCATAGGACTATGTGAAGCTCAGCRGAACTCTAACCTCCTGTCTTCATTATCCTTCTCTAAATAAGAAAGAGTATGTTTATTAACTTGTACTGGTCTTAGAATCCCAAAGAAGAATGTTTGGAATAAAGTAAATGCTAATAAGAAAGGCTCTGACTGTAGGCCACATCTTCTTTCCAATCCTGAGCTATGAAATCCCTGGATGTGTTCAAAGCCAGGTTGGACAGGGCTTAGAGCACCCTGGCCTCATGGAAGGTGTCCCTGTCATGGCAAGGGGTGGAACGGGATGATCTTATGGGTCCCTTCCAACCCAAACCATTCTGTGATTCTCTGATTCTGTGAAATAATTTATGGCAAGTACAAAGTACYAAAACTAGGGTCTTTGTTATAGAAGAAAACATAATAAGGAAATTGGCGTAGGAATAGTGCTGGAAAAGAGGTAAAAAACCACCTGCTTACCTTACATGGTCTCAGTCTCGCAGGGTCATGAAACCCATCTGAGTGAGACTCACCACTCCACTCCCAGGAGGTTCCGATATTTGGATTTCTGTCTGGAATCTGGAAATCTGAAGTGGCCAGAGGCAATTGTCCTAGAAACAATTGAACACCAGAGAGGTCATTTCTCACCACAGGCAGCCAGAGCACAGGGCACTGCTGGATGCTGGGGAGCCACAGCAATGTTGGAGCCCTCAGTGTCCCTCAGCCCCCACRTTCAATATTGGTGGTCACTCACCCGACTCACTGGCCACAATGAAGGACTCAGGGGTGCGYTGGGGCAGGGGTGGAGGAGCATCACCATCGTCTGGCTGTGCCTGGGAGGCTGATTGGAGAAACATGGACTGGTTACAGGCATGGCAGGACATGGGAGGATCACAGACCTGTGTGGAGAAGGAGGCTGCTCCTGCCCTGMCACACAGCAGAGATGATGGTTAAACATCTCCAAACTGGGGTTGAAAATCCAAACAGCTCTCAGCAATTGCACAAGGAAAATGAGCATAGCCCAGCACAGAAYCAGGCATACAGCTGGTGATTCCGCTGCTCCTTGGCTCAGGCTGCAACTCCCAGAACTTCCCAAGGCACTGGGATAACGAGTGTGTCTTTGTGACATTGAATGCTGAGGGGCCTGAGCAGGACAAAGTGGAGCAAGTGCCAAAGCTGTGGACAATGGGAAATGTCCTAGTGGACCAGGAGTAACCAGATCAAGGAATGATTCCACCTTTCTCAYATGACAGGTGATGGATTTAAGAGTACAGATCTGGGAATAACACGTTGGATCATGGAATCACAGAATGGRTTGGGTTGGAAGGGACCTTAAAAAACATTTAGATCCAACACCCCTGCCATGGGTGGGGGTGTCACCCACTGGATCAGTTTGTTCAGGGCCCCTGAAGTCCTGGATCTGTCAATCTCATGAGATTTCACTCTGCAGCAAAGAGTGGGGTTTGACCTGAAAACTAGATCCTCAGAGAAAACCATWTCTGGGAGCTTTCTGAATACATTTTGGAGCACCTTGGTGTAAGAGTTGGTCAGCACCAGTCCCTGCCTCCCTGTGAAAGCTGTTCCAAGGTGACACAATGGTTCAGAGCAGCTGTTTAATACAAACCGCAAAATAATGCTGTTCTAAAAATATTTATGGGAAAAAATTAAGGCAGGATGAAAAGAGAGTGAGAATGAAACCTGTTGATCCCTCAGCTCCCATGAGAACCAAGTTCTGAGGAGCAGCCACAGCCCTGCCTGGACACCAAATGACCACACTGACCACTCCTTCCAGCCCACCCCAGTCCAGGGTGACCTGGTCCTGTGTTTCCCCCCGTCCTGGTAGCACTCACCCGAGGGGAACATCCTCTCCTGGTTCAGGGGAGCATGGTGGGATGCTGAGGAGCTGGCTGTGGTGGGCTGTAGTGGGGCACTGCCAGAGCAAGAAGGGAGAAGCTCATCCTGCCCCTCCAGAAAGGGAAACACGGGGGACACGGGGTCATCTGGAGAGAGGGATGAGAAGTAGGGATCTTCTGCTGAGCAYAGGTGAGGGTGAGGGCATTGCCTCTGGTTCCTGTGCCTTGGGCGGCCATCTGCTTCTCGTCTGGAGGGTTTCAGGTCCACAGGGGAAAATCCATCCTGGAAGCTTGGCCACTGTGAACTCCAAACAGGCTTGGCATCCCCTGCATCCCAGGATTCTTCTCCTCGCTGTCCTGGCACTGAAGGGGTTGATACAGTCCATGCCAGAGGGGTTTTGGCACCAGCCCCCCTTCCACCTGCTGCCTTCAGGTCCAGCTCCAGCTCCCAGCTGCGGCGTTTCTGAGGGGCGTCCCCAGCACCCCAGGGCTCGCCAGCAGCTGCCTTCCTGCAGCTGATGAAGTTCAAAGCACCGAAAGAGATTGCCTGTCTGATGGGGGGCACTGCCTGGGCAGAGCTGTGCTGTGCTCCCGTGGCACACGGCGAGGGCAGGGACGCTTTGCTCTGTGCCACCGCAGGGAGATGTTGGTGCCCATCTTTCTCCAGAGGAAGATTTTGGTGTGGAGCCTGTTCCTCTGGCTCTGAGCTGCAGTAAAGCACAATGAAGTGGTCAGAGTCATCGAGGGCTCAGAAAATGTGAGCCCACTGGCACTGCCCCCAGGAGAAATTCCTTCAGGAACGCAGAACCTGACTCTGCCTCATGAAAGGAGCACAGGGAAGAACTGTGCTCCACTGGAACACAGTTAAACGGTGAACACAAGAGGCCCCTTTATGCCAGCAAACTGAACCAAAAAAGCAAAACTATTTACACAAAGCAGACACTGCAACCCAAGCCCAACCATCAAACCAGCACCAAACCCCATCCATCCTGGCCTTGGACACTTCTTCCAGGATGGAGCACCCACAGCTTCAAAGCATGGCCACAGAGAGATCCCACCAGCCTTGGAAGTTGGATTCCTGCTGCTGTTGGAAGTTGGACTCCTCAGAATTGCTATCCCTGCAGCAAGGGGCACTCAAGTGGATTGTGCAGATGGGAGATGGGACCAGTGTGGGGGCACACCATGCCAGGCAGAGGGTTGGGATGACCCAGCCCTTGGTGTCTCCATGTGCATGAGACTTTTTAATACTGTTTTATTTGTTTTATACTGTTTTATTCTGCTTTATACCATTTCGTACTGTTTTATACTGTTTTCAGTTCAAACGTGAAATATTGCATGAAACAAAGCCCAGGGCACAAGAAGGGCACAGGTTATGGCACACAGGGAAGAGGCTGAGGCACATCARTGAGAAGTGCAGGAATTATTAGRAAATTAGGAAAAAAATTCTTCACAGCAAAGGTGATCAKGCATTGGAACAARCTTCCCAGGGAAGTGGTGGAAACACTGTCCCTGAAGYGTTCAAAAAACAYGTACATGTGGCATTTGGGGACATGGTTKAGTGGACCTGGCARTGCTGTGTTGATGGTTGGACTYGCTGATCTTAGAATACTTTTCTACTCTTTATGATTCTCTGAATTATGTTAGGAGCAAACACAAGAGTCAAAGTGGGACTCAAGGGAGGTGGCAGATCCTGACTGCTGACACTGAAGTGTCCCAAAGCACACACCAAAAAGTGCATCTCTGAATTCACAGGGGTGACTGCAAACACCCACCAGGGATGMTTGTGCTGAGGCCTTACCAGGTGAGTGAACTCAGGCCATAAATATCTTCCACTGGAGTCAGGACTGGCTTGGCTACAGGATGCCCTGCTCCTTCCTAGGGAAARGAAATGTTGGGAAACAAGAATGAGGAGGCAGAATGAAAAGAACACAAACATGCTGCTTCAGGAGCTGGAATTTTTGCCAACTATTTTAATTACTAAAGCACTTGGGAAATGACCAGCACCAACTTGAAAACACCAAGATGGAGCTGAAAACTGCAAACAGAGGCTCCTGAAGAGCAACTCCTGCCAGCATCTTTCTGAAATGAGAGTACAGTGAGCCCTACAGCCATCCAGCTGTGCCAAAACCATCCCAAACCAACCAGGCAGCCTGTGCAGACACTGCCATCAGGAGCCCACACTGGGCATGTGGCTGGGCAAGTTGGGTGCTGGTTTCATTCGTGACAGCAGCTCATGGCCATCCTCGTGCTCTGCAGTGTCCTCAGAGGATGGGGAGATATAGGGGGGCGAGAAGTTTGGGCAGGAGCTACAAAACCACATCCTGACTGAGAYGTCCTCTGCATTCTGTGTCAACCCAGCTCTGCATGACCTTTGCTCACAGACTGTCCTTAACCACTCCAAAAAGGCTTTTYCCTGTTATTTCTCACTCAGCTCAGTCTTGAAATGTCCTGCAAATCCTATGGCACAACTGAGGCACAAATCCCATAGCAGGATCCTCTTCCCAATTCTTTAGATAAAAGTTTCTGTCAAAAAGAGCTSACTGTGACCTTCCAGGCTTTGCTGTGATGCATTTACTCCCCTGGATTCAATCCAGCGAGGCCCATGCAGCATTCACAGAACAAGAGCAAAGAAAGCCTTAACCAGGGATGTTTTGGCTATTCCTGTTAATATGTATTTTCATACCAAGACCACATCATTTTTCCTCAGAGGTGTATCAGATCTGTGACACTTTGCCATGTTTTTTTCACAAGATATTTCCCCCAATGCCCTCCCACAGCCAGGCTGTAGTGCTGATTCCCTCACTAGCACAGTGGGGTAACACTTCAGCCTCACTGCCTTGTGATCCCAAACTTCCCAACCTGGACCTTCCTAACTTGGACCTTCCCAATCAGGTCTGAAAATCCCTCAGTTGCTTGCAAGCCCTCCCTGAAGGCAAGTTTTGCTGGCAAATCCCCATGGAAATTAGCCACTCTGGTAGAATGTTGGGACTTTACTATTCATGCAAAAAATATTAAAATACATGGAAAATGGAAAATGGTTTTGAGACTGAAGAAAATCTAGGTCTCTTTTGTGATAAACATCACATGTTCAGGGGAAGAGCTGGATCCTTGTGGATTAACTTCAAAAAAGACTCAGCTTGGGCTTCAAGGGGAGCAGAAAACACAGAAATTTATCCCAGGTCTGCAGCAGGAATTGAGGTTAGATCTGGGGTGTCCAGAAAATACAGAAATTCATCCCAGGTCTGCAGCAGGAATTGAGGTTAGATCTGGGGTGTCCAGAAAATACAGAGATTCACCCCAGGCCTACAGCAGGAATTGAGGTTAGATCTGGAGTGTCCAGGCTGCAAGAGGCAGGGTGTTTCACCTGGGACTTTTACCTGTGAAGCAGCAGAATCTTTCTGGGCATCCAGTGCTTGGATCTGCCTTCTGAAGAGCTCAATCACTGCATCATAAACCAGCTCATACTGCTCCTGCATTCCAGACAGACAAACAACATGAGAGCCAGCACCTGTGGGACCTGTAAATGGCCACCTCTTCCCAAATCAAGCATCACCCCCAAGAGAAGCTGCCTGTCCTGTCCGTGGCCAGGGTGTGAATTCTGAGAAGAGGCAGAAGCCACAACTCCCACAGGGTTCACACCGAAGCATTTGGGGGATTYTGGGGTGTGCAAGCAATGCTGTTCTGCATTGAGCTTCCTCTTCAGCCTCTTGCAGCTGAGAAAAGTTCCCACTTTATTGCCTGGACAGTCCCTGGTTTCACAGAGTAAGAGTTTGATAAATCACACTGTGAGCTCTGTCCCAGAGGTCTACAAGGAAATGCTCAGCTACCAAATAGATTTCTGCACCATCATTGTTCTGTTCAGAAAAGGGATTTTGCAGAACATCTCCACACCCCAGCTCCCACCAGCACCACCACTCTGGGTGAAAAGGTGAGGTCCCACCATGGACCTGGTGAGATTCCTCACCCATACCTTGGTCTGCACTATGCACGGCCTTTGTGTGCGCATTTCCTGGATGAGACTGAAAATGCTGAAGTTCACTGGAACAATCTTGTGAGAAACAGAAAAGACAAAATGGTTTTAAACTAAAGGAGGAGAGATTTAGATTAGATATTGGGAAGGAATTCTGCTCTGTGAGAGTGGGGAGGCCCTGGCACAGGGTGCCCAGAAAAGCTGTGGCTGCTCCTTCYCTKGAARTGCCCAAGRCCAGGAYAGATGGAGYTCAGAATAACCTGGGATAGTGGAAGGTGTCCCTGCCCATGGCAGGAGGTTGGAAAGGGAGCATCTTTAAGGTCCTTCCAACCCAAGCCTTTCCATGATTTCTGTGATTTCTCTSATAACAATTACAGACAGGTTTAATTCCACTAAGCTTTCAAGTTATGATGCAGTTCGGAGCACTGTCTGAAATCCAGGCCTGTCACTGCAAGAATTTTTAACAAAGAACCTGCCTAAAGTACTATTTTATTTATTACAAACCAGCCTCCTACCTCCTGTCTCCCACTCCACAGAAAATACCCTTTTTTTAACAGCACTGATAACAGCTGTGGGCAGCACAAAGGACATGGCACTGATTTCCCAGCTGGATGGATTCAGGGAACTGTGGAACAGAACACAGCAGACCCTCCTCGAGTCCCAGCAACCTGCTCTGGGGCCAGGGATTGCTGCCTGTGCAGCGTTATTGCAAAGTCAGAGTAAAGTAAAGTGGTTTGGAAACACTGAGTGTCTGAKCTGTGAGTAYAGAGAGACAAATACAGACAGTAAAKTTGTATTGAAGAGTGAAAATCAGCACAGGACCATGTGAAGGAGCTGAAGGTCTGGCCAGAGGGAGCAGTGGAGGGGGGATTCTGCCCCACTGGTGTGGTGTTGTCACACTGGGATGGGGTGGGAGCAATGGAAGTGCCTAAAGAGAGYGGAGTGGCACAAACTGGGAATGGGAAAAGAGCAGCTTGGCCACCACTGATCTCAAGTCAGGCTATGGAAGGCTCCCATTCATCTGAAACCCATCTGAGTGCAGTGAGGGGATAAGAGGGAAGGTTGGGGGGACAGAGGGGTGCAGGTGCCATGGGAGGAGTGAGGAGCTGGCACTCACCCCGTCCTTCAGCAGCTTCTGTGTGTAGTCAATGGCACAGATGACACCGGTTCTGCCGCAGCCAGCACTGCAATGACAGCCACAGTGGGGTTCTCAGAGGGTGGGCACACTGTGTTTTCTGACAAGGATATTTGGAGAAGACCCACAGCCACATGTAACCCTCCCAACCCACACAGCAGAAGGTGCAGACCCTCAGGGTGGCCCTGCTGCAGCTTCAGCCCATGCAGGGCTYTGCTGCACAGGGCTGGGAGATACAGCCCATCCCCTGAGATCATCTCCCTGTCCTCCTGGGATGGTCAGTCACATGTGGACGTGCCCAGTGGTGGTGTTCTCCTAACCAGACCTTCTCACTCTCTACAGCTCCCTGACAGGAGGGTGTAGCTAGCGGGACATTGGTCTCTTCTCCCARCTAACCAGTGACAGGACGAGAGGAAATGGCCTCAAATGGCCCAGGGGAGGTTTAGATTGGATATGAGGGAAAATTTTTTCAGCAAAAGCGTTGTCCAGCACAGGCATGGGCTGCCTAGGACAGTGGTGGAGGCACCAMTGAAAAGCTGTGTAGATGTGSCACTTGGGAYRTGGTTTAGTGGTGGCCTTGGCAGTGCTGGGYGAARGGAATTTTAAAGATCTTTTCCATCCTAAACAATTCTGTGGTTCCATTATTCTATTGCTGGCCTGCTGCTGCCTCCTTCCCTTTCCCCTGGCCGTGCTGGCCATCCTCCCTTTGCMTTTTAGGGTTTCCTACAAGAAGAGCTTGGCCGTGGGCTTGGCYAGAGTCCCTGCCCTGTGACCCCTCAGGACCCTTCTCTGCTGGCAGCCAGGTCACCCACCTGCAGTGGACACAGACTGGGACCCTGTCATTGGGCTGGTAGCAGCGGATGTCCCCAACGAGCTCCAGGATGGGCTCGATGGATGAGGGCACGTGGTGGTCAGGCCAGTTTTTATAGTGGAGGTGGTGGATGGTGCGAGTTACCTGCAGGAGGAGAAGAGCGGTGGCAGGGTTTGGGATCAGCACAACAAGGGAAGCTGGATTGCTGCAGCCATCCCCAGCTCCCACCTGCACCAGCAGGCAAAGGGCAGGGGAGCAGTTTGCAGCTGGTTTTGCTGCAGGAGCCGTTTCATGACATTCTTGGCCTCATTTACCCGGAGTCTGATTTGCCATGACTGACAAACAACCTCAGAAACTGAGGTCTGAGTTAATAAATTTTTTACTTTCTTTGTTCCCTCAACTGCTTTCAAATCTAATTCAGCAGCCTGAGCAGTGTAAAATTTTCTGCACAAAATGTACCATATTTTAATATATTATTCATGTAACAAAACTGGCCAAGGTGCAGATTCTGCCTTGACCTTTCCTACTTACCTCATTCAGGGTCACCTTTAAAGTYCTGATCACATATTCATTCCTCTTCTCCTCAGCTTCCTGCAGGGYAGGAGGTCAGAGTCACATTTTCTGTGGGTGCCACGGGGTGGGATAGGGAGTTGAGGGGGCTGCACTCACACAGGTGATGGAGAAAGGGCCGCAGTGCAGGGGAGAACCATCCACCTCTGCCCAGTACCGCTCACACTTCTTCTGTTGGGACAAGCAGGATGTGTTTGGTTATTCCCCACTGGCACAGCTGTGCTGTCTCCTCTCTCACTTTCCAGGACAAAATTCATGCTGGGAAGAGCCTCAGCTCTTGCTGCCAGCCTTCCCTTCCCTGGAGCTGCCACTGCTGGTTTTCCTTTTCCAGAGAGACTCTGTGCTGTTGGAAATGGCTAAAGAATTTTGTGGAATCCTGAACTGGTTTGGATGGAAGGGACCTTAAAGATCATCYCATTTCATGGGCAGGGAATCTCCCACTGAGCCATTTGCAGCTGGAGACCCAACAAACAGCTCATGTCAAAGAGGAGCTTGCTGACAATAAAAAGATTTAATAAAAATCTGCTTCTCTCTGCCCTGGCACTGTCACAACAGGGCCCATCCGTGATGCACTACTCACCTTCCCCATTTCAAACTCCATACAAGCCATGACCACGACCTGCAGAGAGAAGGTTCATTAGAAAAGCCTGAACATGAGTTTCTTATCCAGGCAGCAAAATCAAACTGGTTTCTTGTGGGTACATGTCAGTGACAAGGAAATTTTATGGGCTGCCTTCCCTTGAGCCCTGACTGCCAGACAAGTGACACTGGGGACATCAGCCACAGCCTGGCACAAGGACCTGCCCAGCCAGTGCCCAAAGGCAGGGACAGCCACCAGCAGACTTGGCATGAGTGGGAGGATGACAGGGGGGATGTGGGACACACACAACATCTGGAGTAAAACCCTTACACTCCCCCTGACTGATAACTCACAAAGGACTTCTGGCTGTGAGAACAACTTTTCTTAAAAAAGAAGACATATGAATTTTRTATTTAAATATGAATCTGCACCTTACCAGGACTTCATACTCCCAAACCATCCTCCAAAAGTCAATGACAGTAGTGGGGAGAGGACCCTGGGTTGCAATGTACGCTCTTGGCCCATAGACACCCTGGAACATTCAAACCAGACATGGACACATCTGTGCATAGTTCACCAGCAGAAATAAAGTCATTCCCCTCTCTGAATTTACTTCTATTCAGTGAGCTCACCGAGAATTTAGAAGAAGTTTTAAATGTGGTTGAATTTAGGGCTTGTACATTAACTCAAGYAGCAGTGTGCAAACCTAAGGCAGGGCTGAGCCAGGGAGCTGGGCTTGAGCTGGGATCCACTCCCAGAGAGCAGCACCAGATCTTGCACGGCCTCTGGGAGCTTGGAGGTGATGTGGCCATAGAATGAACCATGATCCTGTTGGGAATGTCTGTTCTTCTGCAGAAGAGCCCTGGATCTCTGTCATGGGGAATTAAAGCAATCTTCTATCTATTTATCTATTTATCTATTTATCTATCTGTCTGTCTTTCTAGCTAGCTAGCTATTTAATGTATCTATCTAATCTATCTATGTATCTATCTATCTATCTATCTATCTATCTATCTATCTATCTATCTATCTATCTATCTATCAGTTATCTATCAATTGTGTATCTATTTTCTATCTATTGATTATCTCTATCTATTGTCTGTCTATCTATTGTCTATCTATCTATCTATCTATCTATCTATCTATCTATCTATCTATCTATCTAATGTATTTATCTATC